CCCAATTTGATAGTTTCCTCTCTATCTGCTTTTTATGTCTTAGCCTTTGCTTTTGACATACTTAATACGTGCACACAAGCTTGAAACAGAAGGTGTGGGTCTCACAGGTCCTTCTCCACGTGGAACACCTTTCCCCCCCCACTAGTACCCTCTTGTCTAATTTTTCCTTTTCTAATTTTTATGAACCACTGAATGTAATTAGGGCTGCTCTTACAGCCATGAGTTTAGGGATGTTTATTGGAGCACAGGAGGTTTACCAGGGGCTACCTATGGTGTAATTTACCATTTACACCAGTGAAGAAAAGGACTCCTGTTCTCCAGCAGGAACCACGTGGGCAAGTTATATTAGAGCCAGAGGGCAGCTGTCGTTCACACTTGCCTTACACTTGAACGTGGTTCGCACAGTCGGTCACAAGTCTACTTCCTACATAATTGGTTTACAGCCTGTTTATACATCAAGTCGGTTACAGTTTGCTCTCTCCTCAAGGGGTCATTCCAAGCTGGCTTTGCTTTGTGGGGAGCAAAGGAAATCCCAAAAGAGTGAAGTTCTGAGTGAATACATGCTGTTAACATGGCAACAGCCTTGTCAAGGACCATAGCTGCACCCAAGAACTGGAGTTACCAATGGAACCTGTGTCCTTGCAAGAGCAGCCAGTGCTCTTAACCACTGAGCCATCTCTCCGGGCTCTAAGGAACAATGTTTATCTTTGAGTCTAATAATAAAGTAAACTTGTGACTTGCTGGATCATAGGGATTGCAGTAGTAATTTGTTCACCCACACCTAAATCACAGTGGTGTTTGCCTGAGGTAGAAAGGGAGGGCGGTCTTATCAGATGCCCTGCTTGTTTGGTCACATTTGTAAATGGAGCCAGAGACAGAAGGTAGTGATTTAATGTCTACATCAGGCCATGTCCTACTCTAAGTGGCTCTATGCTATGGAAACGGTGATTTTCAGTTTATGGTTTTCCCTGAAAGACTATTTTATAAGCATCTTTTGACTCATTTTGAGGTCAGATGATGATTGCATACCCACGTAGGGACATGAACTTGTACCACTCTCATAACACAGATTGATAAATGACTTATGCCTGGGAGTTGAGAGGGAGCCACTCTAGATTTATTGCTACGAATTAATTGAGACTGTAGAGGTACATGGACATATTTAAAATTATATTAGCAAAACTGGGGTCAAGAGCCTGAAGAAACAGAAGCCCAAGGGAAGTTTGATACAGTCTCACTTGGACTCTATGAATGTGGACACCTAACACTGCTATGGCATGCCCCTCTCTCTCCATCTGTCACCAGACCACCTAGTGTGTGGATCAAGGGACTGACAGGCAGAGAACACTTGATTGTCCCTGGGGTCTGACAGGCCTACTCTAATTGCCGTCTGGTCTGCCCACCCTCCTGTTTGTTCTTCTTCTGGACCTATTGTCCATCAATATTATCATTTGTTTGTCTGTCCTTGACCTGTCTTCTGACTTCCAAAGCTGGCCTCAATTCAATCTCATTTCTGACCTTCCAGCCTAGAGCAGCATCAGCATCACTCCAGAGACCTCCAGGTGGTAATCTGATACCCTCTCCAGCCCTCCTGACCCCAGCTTTGGTGTCTCATGGTTCCTTGCCTTTTCAACTGTTTACAGCTCTTCAGTCTCCTGTTTCTGTCTCTCACTGGGATATATATATATATGTATATATATATACATATATATATATATGTATATATATATGTATATATATATATACATATATATATATATATATACATATATACATACTCATACACACACACACACACACACACACACACACACACATATATAAAATGACTTGATGGTAAAAGCCAAAAATTAAAATTTTAATAAGAGAACCTCTAGCAGGCTTCTTTTTTTTTTAAAGGCCAACAACCAACTTCCAAATCAAGATATGAAAATTTCTTATTAGTTATTATCCTTTTAGCTCTTATTTCTTGCTAGCTCTTATAACTTATAAAATTATCCTGTTTCTCTTCATTTTTGTTTTGCCTTGGGGCTTTTAACCTTTATTTCCTTCTGTATATCTTACTTTCTTTGTTTCTCTTGTCTGGCTGGCTGGTGGCTGCCTGGCTTCTGGCCCTGGGCACGTCCCTGTCTTTCTCTTTCATTCTCTCCTCTCTTGAGCCTATATTTCTCTTCCTACTTATTCTCTCTGTTCACCAGCCCTGCCTATCCCTCTCCTGCCTAGATATTGGGCCTTTTGGCTTTTTATTAGATCAATCAGGGGCCTTAGGCAGGCAAGGTGAAACAAACACAACACATCTTTATATAATTAAACAGATGCAGCACAAACAAATGTAACATACTTTTACGTAGCCAAAATCATATTCCATAGCATGAATAAAAGTAACACATCTTTGCCTAGTTAAAGTAATATTCCACAACAGGAATCTGGGTTTACCTAAAGGATGATTGGAATATTTGGCCACAGTATCTGGTGAATTTTTGTTACTCAATACATCCTGACACTGTAGGAAGACACAAATATGTCCATCTGTGTTTCTAACACAACATGCTCATTGCACTTAACATGCTTAAGTAAGGACACTCTCAAGATCCCACACACACAAAGGGCCAACTCCAGAGTCGGTTAAGAACCACATTTACGTGTTTATCTAATTGTTGATGAACATTTGTGTCAGGTGCCGAGCTCGGTGTAGACCTTTGAGGAGGGGGGGGTCTGCTCTTTCTTTTGGGAAGCTTGGAATTTATACTCTTGTCCTCCTGCCTCTCAATGGGGAGAGAGGGAAAGGACGAGACATTAAGGGGAAACCATTGCTTGGAAAACTGGGGCTAAACTAGACTGGGATACTGTCCCCTAATTTAGGGAGGAAAGACAAGGTGTGTAGTACCAGAGATTTGTCACAGGATGACTTCTCGAGTCCTGTTTCCTCTGGGTAAGATTGTTTCCTGATCGGCAGGTGAGTTTTTCTTCCACATAACCTCTCCGGCCTCGCTTTCAGAGCTCTTTTAGATGGTATATTGCCTTTGGGGCCCATGAACTTTGCTTTAGACTTGACCTCTAACTGTAGTATCTTCTTTTTATTTTAGGTCACAAAAGTGTCTAATACTTTAAATACTGTGTTGAGCCACTTTCTACTGGGTGTGAAGCTGATGAGAAAAACTCCCATCTGCCTGTGAATGAAACTCACCCCTTTAAAAAGGTGTATTTGCATTTTAATAGCAACCCTTTAGCTCAAATTAATTTCTAAGTGGCAGAATGTGTAAATTAGTCTCCGTGAGAAGAGGAATGGAAGAGTTATTCCCTAGTTTTCTGTGTTTAGGCATTGCTACTCTGAGTGTTGAGTCTCACCTCTTAGTCAGCCCTCAGCACGATGCCATTTAGGTCCTCTCCCTGAAGCAATCATGGCTTTTTAAGGTAAATTCTGTGAACATGTTTCAAGCATCTCCTTTAGCCAATCTATACACTCTACATGGTGGCTCAAAATCATCTATAACTCCAGTTCCTGGGATGTGACACCCTCTCCTGGCTTCCACAGACGTCTGCATACATGTGTTGCAGGCAAACATGCGTACACATTAGATGCAAACAAATCTTTAAAATGGTTAAGATTCACACGTGGACTACGCCAACCTAGAAGACAATAATCTTAGAATGAAGTCACTAAGTGGTGATGAAGTTGTATAGAAACAGAAACTTTCTTACAGTTGAAGTGGGAATGGAATATGGTATAGACTGTAAATGGTTCCTAAAAGAATTAAACATGGAATTACCATTGGAGGCTGTAGTTCCTTCCTCTCTTAGGGTATGTATATGCCTTCAATAAATGAAAACAAAGGCCAATGACTCCTCTCTTAGGGTATGTACCTAAAATAAGTGAAAACAAAGGCCTAGGCACTTACACACAAGTATTTGTAAGTAGTGCTATTTACATAGTCAAAAGATGAGAATATATTTTTTAAATGTGCATCTAGCACAATGGAAAGTAATTCAGACATAGAAGAGAAGGAAGTACTAAATACTATATAACATAGATGAGTCTTGGAAACATTATGCTAAGTGAACTGAACCAGACACAAAAGGACAAAGATGAGTTCGCTTGGGTGGACTGTCTGTCTGTCTGTCTGCCTGTCTATCTGCAGTAGGAGAACTCACAGAGACAGAAAGCTGTCAGGAGGTACTGGGCCTGGGGTGATAGAAGGGTGATAAAGTACTTAATGAATAAAGAATTTCTCTTTGGAGAGGCAAAGTTTTTGACAATAGGTAGTGGTTGTGGTTTCACAACATTGTAAATATGCCAATAAAGTACAAAGTAATGGTGGAAATGCCAAATTATATGCTTCATATCTTTTTTCCCCTACAAATAAAAAAGAATTAAAAAAAACAAAATGAAAAACAAAAAACTCCCTTCCATCATGGCCAATTGCTTATTTCCTTGGAACTGTTTTTTTTTTTTTTTAATTAAAATTTTAAGTGACATTTTAGCATATGCATGTGTATGTGCATGCACACACGCGTGTGTGTGTGTGTGTGTGTGTGTGTGTGTGTGTGTGTGTGTAGGTCAGAAGACAACTTTCAGGAGTCAGTTCTCTTCTTTTACCATGTGGGTCCCAGGAATCAAACTCAGATTTTCAGACTCAGCACCAAGTACCTTTACCAACTGGGTCACTTTGTCAGCCCATTGACACTATTTTAATTTTTACAGATCTTATTAGAATAGACCAGAAGACATTTAACTATAGGATATATAGAATACAAAAATCAATGGATATAACTCTAGTGATGGAGTCCATGTTTATTTTAGGATCCAGAAATTATTTTAAAAATATAAATTTTATTATTTCCGTGTATTGGTGTGTGTCTGTGCATGTGGGTCCTATAGAGGCCAGAAAAGGATGCTAGGTCTCCAGGAGCTGGGGGTTACAGGCAGATGTGAGTGTTGGGAACTAAATTCAGTTGGAGAGCAACAAGGATTCTTAACCATTGCCATCTCTCCAGCCAAATTAAATTTCAGTTTCTGAGTTTAGGTTTTGTGCCCTTTCTGTAGAAGAATCATCACTGAATGCTGACTTAAACAGAGAAAGAGTAGATTTCTTGAAAACCTTGAAATTCTCCCCAGTGAATAGATAGAGAATGGGAGAAAAAACAGTATTGAAGGTAATGGTCACCCCCGTAAGTACCAGGGTCAACTGTACAAGTAGTGACTGGTTCATGGTGAGGATCAAACCGCTGTATACATGGTAAGGCATCCAACATACAAAGAAAGAGATGACAGCAGTCATCATGACTTTGAAGGGCTTGCTGGATTTAAAGAGTCCTTTCTCTTTCATCTTGGTGGCCACTCTTCTGTAGCAAAAGACGATGACAAGGAAGGGCAGGAGGAAGCCCAGCAGGAAGCGGCCGATGAAACAGGCTCCATGAATCCATTGCCTTAACATTTGCTTCCCTTTGTTCTCCCAGTTAGTAGACACAAGGTAGTTATTTTGGCATATCATTCTCCCTTTATGGTCATCACGTGTCTCCCTGAAAACCAAATAGGGGATGCTAAGGATAGTGGCAGAAATCCAGATTCCCAGGACTATTTGGGAAGCCCAATGTAAGCTTCGGTGCTGCTGGGACCACACAGGGTGGAGGGTGAGAAGATAACGATCAATACTGATGGCAGAGAGCAAGAAAACAGAGGCGAACATGCTCACAGACAAAGTGCTGTTGAAGACTTTGCACAAAACATTTCCAAAGGCCCAGTGATTGTCTTGAAAGTAGGAGGCAGCCATAAATGGTAGAACCAATGTTGAAATAAAATAGGAGAGAATGAGATGAAAAAATAAGACAGTATTGACAGTCCTTTGCATCTTGAATTTCAGCATCCATAGATAGAGGCCATTGCTGATGGTACCAATTATAAATGACGTGAACAAAGAAATAGCAATGACTATTTTGGGGGCAGGAGTTGGATTATCAGTGCTGTTTCTTACTAAAGTAGGGACAGTGATCACATAACCAGAGGCATTGATCCAATCCATAGTTACCTGTAGAGGGAGTAACAAAGAAAAAAAATGAAGAACAGCAGCAAGGATTAAATGAAGACAGTAGTAACTTTGGTATAACAGTAGCTCAAAGGGTAATATTTAAATAGTGGCATAGTATTTCAATAATAACATTTATAAATTATTTTCTAATGTCTATTCTTTTTTAAAATCAGGAATTAAGATCACTCTTATTTTAAAAATAGAAATAATTCAGATGACACGCACTAAATAAATATAGATAGCATTCTTACCAGAAACAATTGTATTTTTTTAAGTATAAAATGCTACAATTAGATTTACCTCATAACCTAGTTATATGGTATTATCTAGCTAGTGTATAACAGTAACGACTGACCTTCTTAGAGGAGTCTAGGGTCACCACTAGATTATCAAATGCCTTCTGAACTATAGACAAAAGAAGGCCATGTTCCAGGACACAGGAAGTAATTTCTTTCTTGGGGAAGGGAGGAAAGGGAAAAGAGAAAAATAATTCACCTTTATCCAATATTGTGAAAGCCAGAATCTTCCTATAAAAATAATTTCTTTGATTTTCCATAAAGCGTATGAGGCAAATCCTTATTGTTGTTGTTACTTTCTTCTGCTTTGTATTTTGCTGAGACAGGGTCTTAACTTTTTTTTTTTTTTTTTTTTTTTTTTTTGAGACAGGGTTTCTCTATTGCTTTGGAGCCTATCCTGGAACTAGCTCTGTAGACCAGGCTGGCCTTGAACTCACAGAGATCCACCTGCCTCTGCCTCCCGAGAGAATCCAACTCCTGGCTGGTCTTATAGAGCCCAGTCTGGCCTTGAACTTGCCATGTAACCAAGGCTGATTTTGAGCATCTGGTCCTCCTGATACCACATCCAGTGTGTTGGGATTACAGATGTGGGTTTCCACCTACAACACTGAGGCAAACCTCCAAACAAGGAGAAACTGGGCTAAAATGGTTAAATGTTCATTGTCCTTTGCATCTTACCACGCCTCCATGATGGAATGTGGGAAACTGGTAATTCATGGGAAGTGTCTTTGGTAATGTGTCTTGAATCAGTGTATTTAAATATCAAAATATTCAAGAATATTCAGTTTCTTGAATAATGGTTCCTGTAGTGTCAGAAATGTAAATCTGAGAAAGATTTAGAAAATAGTTGTTAATACAAAATCATATCAACAAATTGGCTTTTGACAAATGGGATAGAGGGATGGAAATTACTAATGACACATTCTTTACCACCAAACAAAAACATTCTAAGATAGTAAACAGAAATAAAATAACTGCTATTTTAAAATGCAATTAGCCTGTGGTGGTGGCTCAGTCACCTTGTAAGCCTTGTAAGCCTGAGGACCTGAGTTCAATCCCCAGAACCCACATACAAATGTGAGGTGCTGGGCATTGATGGTGCATGACTTTAATTCCAGTACTTGGCAGAGGCAGGAGGATGTTTGTCAGTTCAAGGCCAGCCTGGTCCACATAGTGAATTCCAGGACAGCCAGGGCTGTGTGGAAAGACCCCGTCTCAACCCCCGCTAGAAGCCTTCTAAGGTTGTATAAAGATCCCAGCACTCGGGAGGCAGAGGCAGGAGAATCTGTAAGTTTGAGGCCAGCCTGGCAGCCTTGTCTATAGAGTTCCAGGATAAGCTTCAAAGCTACACAGAGAAACCCTGTCTTAAAAAAAGAAAAAAAGAAAGAAAGTAAGGAAAGAAGGAAGAAAGAAAATGGTTTTCTTCTTATAGAAAAATACTTTAGTAGCCTGGTTTGAGAATAAACAGTGAAGTTATGGAACAGATAAACAATGGTTTTGTGAACATCCTAGGATCTTGAGAAGAGGGAGAGAGGGAGGGAGGGAGGGAGGAAGGAAGGGAGGGAGGGAGGGAGAGAGGGAAATCTTAGTTTGGTACAGGAAAAAGCCAGGAGGTGTGCTGAAGTCCTGGAGAACAGGAAGGATAACCGCAGAGATTAGCTCCAAGGAAGCCAGCACAGGGTTTTAACCCACTTGCTGTGTTTTTGTGTGTAAAGCGCTCCTTTTCCCTGTTAACCTACAGTTGCCATGTGTTGGTGACTACTAGAGAGCAAAGGAAAAGAGTTTGTGGTCCCAATTTGGAACAAAGGGAGATGGAGGGAAAAGGAGAGCTGCTGGAGCTGAGATGTAAAGGACACAATGCAAATGGTGGAAAGTTCGTAGATGATGGGGCGCGAGAGAGGGCGGGGAGGGGGGCGGAGAGGATATCTGTGTGGGGCGAGGGGGGGGGAGGATATCTGTGCTTCTGTGGTGCATGGTGCATGTGTGTGTTTGTGTATGCAGGTGCATTTACAGTCTATATGTCAGTATGTGGTGAACTGTTACCCACGATATATACATATATATATATATATATGTATATAGTTCTATGTGTGCATATGCACACATAGAGTATCTGTGAGTTGTATATATAATCTGTAGTGTGTTAGTGAGGTGTGTGTGTATATGTGTGTACACTATGTGTTGCTTGAATGTGTGTCTGTTCTTACTGTGTTTTCATCCGTACAAAAGGTATGTGTGTGGTGTTGGTGTGCATATGCTGTGTATGTATGATGATCCCTTAATGCAGTGCATTTGGGAACTTGAATTTTTGGATGCTTTATTTGCTGAATTGTGAGGCTGAACTCTAGAAAAGCAACCCGAGTTAATATAGACTTGAATAGAATAAAAGCAAAACTTCTTTAATTGGAATTGGTGATGCTGCATTTTGTATGAATCTAAGGAACTTTGCTATATTGCATATATTAAGAAAATTCTTCATTGTTTTTAGTATTAAAAGTGTAGAGCTAATTGTGTGTTTATGATGGATGTGTGTGAATGCAGGCCTACACACACCACTTTGTGATGTGGAGGTCAGAGAAGTTCTCCATTCTTGAATATTTTTTAAGATGGCTTGAGGCCTTGAGTATAAACCAGTGAGGCTGCAGAACTTGCTTGGCAAATCATAGCTCTGTGGTTTGAGTCTTCTCTGCCTATCCTTGAGTTTTTAGGCCGTTTCCTCCCTAACCCCAAGAATATTTGGGAAGACGAAATGGGACATCGAGCTCTCCTTACTCAGCTCCCTATATGGGTGATGGCAAATATTCATTTTTTAAACATGTCATTCTGCTCAGCTTGTTATAGTAAAGCCACTGAGAGCCTCACTGAACACTTTTAAAGATGCAGACTATTTCCTTCGAGAAGTGCCTGTATTGAACTCTGTGAGTCTCTGAGAGATTTCTACAGAATCCAAAAGACCTCCTCAGGCTGAGCCCTCAGGTATTCTTATCTCGAAGCTTTGGTGGTGACTAAAGAGGTCTTCCACTTGGAGACCCTGAGCTGCTTTTTTTGGGGAAGGTCTCAGGAGCTTTAGACTAGCTGACCTTTAGGAAGCCCAGAGATGGATTTATTCAGCTGACAATTCTAGGAGAAGCCTGCTGGGCCCAGGGATCTTACCTCAGAGTTGTGTCTTCATGCCAGGCAGCCCGAGACGCCACAGTGGCCGACAGCTGCAGTCTTCTCTGTAGGGAAAGGGACAGCAGCCAGCCACTCTGCCTCCCCTCTGCTGCCTGATGCTACTCCTCAGTATTACCGTGGATAAACTCAGGGAGTCTCTCATCTCTGTTCTCCTTTCTGTAGAATGTACAGCGGTGGAGGAGGAGTTAAGGAGAGGGTGACTTCTCCAAACCATTTCTCCATTTCAAGATGAGAATCAAAAACTCTGTGGGCAGTCATCTCAGTTAAGGTTAATATGCCAATTCCAGGTGTGTAAACACTGGCTAAATTCTATCCTCAGGTTGATCACCAGACTCTCTGGTTGATTCTGGGGATTTCTCTGGCACATGGACCATCAGCATTAGGTACACAACAAGATGGAAAGTGTAAAACATGGGTGATACAGAGTCTGGAAACTAGGCTGATCTTGCTGGAGAGAAATTGCTAATGAGACAAACTGAAGCCTTGATTTTCTCATTAAAACAGAACAAACATAAAACAGAACAAAAAAAAAAAAAAAAAAAAGAGTGATGTCATTCAGTTTGGAAAGAGGAAGCATGGCAGGCAGAACTGTTGCATCTGGACAGTTGTTGGGAATGGTAGGACTATAGAGCTGGTCCCTTAACTTAGAGGTGTCTGTGAAGCATTGCTGGCTCATTTCTCCCTTCAGTCCATCTGTTTCTCTTTTGATGTTCGCCTCTGTTCTGACCTCATTGTCCTCATTTCTTTCCTCTCCCTCTCTTCATGGCCAGTGTGGAAAATACATCAAAAGTGCAGTGTGGCTTCGGTGGTGAATGACTTGGGAATAAGAACCTGCTGGACTCAGGATTTTAACACTTGTGCTGCTCTAGCACAAGTCTATAGACTTGTTTGAAGTAGGCTTACATTTTCAGTTCTTAATTCGTTCAACCTAAGTACAGATCTCCTTAGTGGCTTTAGGGCCACTTTCAAACTAACTGCTATAAAGTATTTCTGCTGGGTTTTTATTTGGGTCCATGTACAGATCCAGAGGTAATGAGGAATTATTTGGTCCAAGCCTGCTCACCCTGAAGATTAGTAGACAGAGTCTCAGAGGTTAAGCAAATCACAATAGGTTTTTCATCAAACTCCCATTCTACGGGACCCTCAAACCATCTGAGGACTCATCCTGGATTCTATTAACAGTTAACCATGAAGTCGAGGCAAAAATAAACATGTGCTAGAAACTCTGATGGCCTGCATGCGGGAATGACAGTGACTGCATGATTCAGCACAGAGGGGGCTGCTCAACCCTACAAAGAAATCCCCACTCTGCCTCTATTATAGATCTATCTGCATCTCTTCATACATCACCAGAGTCTTATTTCTTCATTTGAAAAACAAAACAAAACAACAACGTTTGTAGTGAGGTAGTCCTTCTGTAGCACTGACCACGCCCATTGGGGGGTGGAGCTATGGGCGGAGGTGACCTGAGGAAGGAGGTCGGAGGGGGCCAGGAAGGCGCTCTCTTTCTGGCGTGACTCGGAC